CTGATACCTCCACCGATTTCAATTGCACATAACGGTGAATGGTAGAAATCGTACAATTTCATCGTCATTTTCGAGTGGCTCGTCGTTATTTGCATTTTTTCGCTTATTTTGTGACTAATTGAAAATTTTTATGCGAACTCTCATTTCATTTCAGACTCAAATGTCTCTCAAGAAATGTCGAATAATTTTTCAGTTTCCGATCGAATCATCGATGCTGAACCACATTCACCATCGTCGTCGTCAAATAACATAACACACGAACAACTTCTGGCGTTCCCGTTTGAGAACGGACAAGATGCGGACGATGAAAGTGAACCGCACTCCTAAAATGACATCCTTCGGAAATTAACTTTTAACTTTAAATTAAGCCAGTCAAAATTTTGCATTTGGTTCTAAGAAAAGTATAACGTTTATTTCGATGTTTAATCAGTGAAGCACCATTAGTCACATAATTTCGATACGAATGTTGTTGTGCTTAAATGATGATTAATTTGTGATATCGTATTTATTATCGATCAATCAGTGATCGATTCTAACATAAATTCTTTTATTCGGGATTATTACATCACAATCGTAATCCTACAGAATGCATGCGAATGTTTAATGATAATAACGTTAATATCTCCAACCGTTCATCATAACGTCGCATTTTCGAATTGCATCAAATTTCAACGTTAGGCTTAGCCGCAGACTGGCATTTTCTGATAGCGTTATATTCGAGCATTTTCTGAAGTTTGTTACTTTGATCATTCGCAAAAGTTTCGTCATCTTTTAGTTCTGAAAATTGGAACACCGTGCATTTTGAACATTTAAATAGTGCATTCACCTATTTATTCCCCTTTTTTTCTTATTAATCATTCCCTAGTCAACTCCACTGATTAATTTTTAGCATCAGTTCAAACAACGCACTCATCGTCAGTTTTTTTTGAGGAGAGAACAAATTTTACACTGCTAAAAATGCACAACATTTCGAAACTTATTCCATATATCAAATGATTTATCAGTCTGTTCAGAATGTAATTTATCAGCATAATGTAGCTAGGCTTTGGCTACGAGTGCAGTCAACGCTCAACGGTCATGCTTCCTTCCGTTCACGAAGCGAATTTCTAATGAATGAATCAGTTTTGCTTCTGCGGGAAATTTCCCTTCGCATGCGTATGTTTTTGATCACATATTCAATTTTCGTGCTGTTGAAAAGCGCATTTTCCTCCCAACGATGTGCTCATAACGGGTTCTGGTTTGGGTGTCATTCGAACTGACTTCATTCGTTCTAGACAAAGTTGGCATTGTAACCTGTCGGATGAGTGACTGTAGCACAGTCATACTTCTGAGCAATATGTCTTAATTCATTGTTTAATTGATTGGTTTGTGTGTGAAAGCAAGAACGAATAAAAGCTTATTTGAGTGCGTCTTCTTATTTGCGTTAATTTTCGTTGCGAAGTATTTTACTGGTCTCATTCAGTGAGCAATTACAACGCAATACGAGCGTATGCCTGCTTGTTATCACTGCCCGTGCATTCGACATCTTAATGTAGTACTCCTCGTTTAGTGTTATCAAGGGTTTGCAGTCTTGCAGTGCAAAATCATTCGGCTCCTTCGCTCCTCTTCGCAACATTTGTTGAGCGATGGATGATCAATAAATCCTCCTCATGTCCACCAATGCACACTTATGCCAATCTACGAGCACATAAGTAATGCTCTATGCAGGTGAATATTGCTCGACAATGTGGGCTAATGAGTATCATTTGGCAGTGACACGCAGGTGGATAGAGCAAGGATATGCGACACATCTTTCAGAATCACCTAAATCGGTCAGCTCTATGAAAACTTATCAAATTTGTGGATGTTATCCAGGAAATAAATGAAAGTAACAGAACAGATGGACGATTGATTACCTCTAATCAGTTGATTTTCTCTCGACCAGGGAATAACTACAAGATGACCAAAAAGCGAAATCGAACGAATCGACAGTAATGACATTAGGTGAGAGGAGGGGGCAAATGCCCGAAACCGGGGATTACGAGGAGGTTGGTTGGTGCAATAGGAAAGAGTTGCGGGTCAAGGTCGGGTTAAGGTAATTTGAGTGATTTAGCGGTGACAGAGCGCTTGTAGCTGATTACAAATCAGCTGATTCAACATGTTTAGCAATGACTTTGTTTGGATAATTTGTTGACAATGGCCACAGAACACCAAATCGATCACAATTTACACGATGTAATCAAGATGAAACTGAATGTTTTAGCTGCTAATGAAAATGACTGTGGCCATGTTCAGGAATACTATCGCAATTTGTTTGGCATTCACAGGTCACTGACAAGCATTCATACAGGTGAAAGCATTCGATCTTATTCATTGTATATTTGAGCTTTTCGAAGTGATGGTTGGTCGTGAGTATAGCTCTGACAGAAGCGATCTTGAACAGGTGAACAGACGGAATTGGTTGTTGAAATGCATACAAAAAGTGAACGAATCTTAAGCATGCACGTATTATCGGAAACATTTTATATTCTTTGCAACCATTCGTTCAGTTATTCAGCTACAAAAATTCATAATAGCAACAAGACTCTTTGCGTTCATCACAGGCATTTTTACTGGTCACATCTCCTACCAGGTCTGGCCAGATGACTCGCCCATTCAGTGTTTTCTCTTCAAACTGGCTACCCATCTTTTCCTCTTTAAAACCATCGGTTGACAGTTTCCCCGTATCTCAAAATCACCTTCCGTAGACAAAAATTTTGGAGAATTCAAAGAATTCTTTACTGAATGGTTCGATGTAATTCGCTTATACTGAACGAAATTCACGAATACGCATAGGCCATGAGGATAGTTGTGTGGGAATGGCTTTAGGATGAGATTCGATGACCATTACTTTGGATGGATGCCTTTTAGTGATTTGTTACTGAGTGCAGACGACGTTTGCAGATGAGTGAAAATGCATTGTTCTTAATATTTTGATGGTGTTGTGTGCGAGAACGAGAGTAGTTCGATGATATCATAAAAAGTTTATGGTTGTTGATAACTAGATTTTTACGCATACAGCGATGCATTATTGATTTGTCGACGTCTCGATTGTGTATAACGCCATTATTAACCCTCGGCCGAGTTGGTGATGCACGAACTGAGGAAACACTGCTAATCGTCATTACCACTGCACTCGAGTGAACCCGATTGATTCGTCGTCGGCAACCTGCTAATACTTTCATCAGACTGAATCTGAACAATACCAAGGTTTTGTATTCTCTTCCGGGATTGACTCCCCTGTAACCTCACTTAATACTATACTGAGAATGAATATTATATCATTCTCCGAATGGTTTTCCTATTTCCGCTTGCGGTTGATTACTGGCTCACTGTGAGCAGTGTATGTGGCATTTTAATATTGGAATTCTTTCATTCGACTCCATCCTTTACTAGAATGTGACCTATTTTCGCAGACGAAATAATTGAATAACCAATAGAAAAACACAACTACGTTCCCTATTTTGCTACCTAATGACGTAGGACGGATAATGAATATTGATATATTCCATCAATCAAAATCTCGCAGACTATCGCCTGCTCTCGTGAATGTTCAACTCACATATCCATCTCTATACGATCAACCGAAAACCTTGCTAACTTCATCCGGTAAACGCTTCCGATTGCAACACTGACCACATGAATTTTCATGAGAGCAGTGTGATTGAAGTTTGTCAATAACGACTGGATATCTGTAGCTAATCAGAAGAATTACGAGTTGAGAGCCGTTTGCGTTTTCTTAAAACCTTAAGTCGTCATTTGAGAGGATCGATCAGTTCGGAAAGAAGTGATTCTGATCGTGGACACGAGCAGGATTGTGTGTGACGCTGTGTTGTGGATTTTAAAACTAGCGCATTTCATTAGTGTTGATGTGTTGTGAGAGGAGATATATGCAGATTATCGATGATAGTAGCGTTGTTTTGATGCGGTACAATCCGGAATATTGAACCGAGTATACATAGACATGCTGAAGACGACTCATACATAAACACCACACATCCTACACAATAATAAATACACGACGTATATATCCCATGTAAAATAATACATTGCATACATATATACATATATTTATTTATGTGTATGTAATAATGAATATATATANATATATATAATTGTATATAAATTCTTGACATGATTGTGTCTAAACGTGTGTATGCGTGTATAAACTGGACTATTTGTCGTGTTCTCTGTGTCTCGGCTAATATACATATAAAATAATTTATAAACGAAGACGTCATATGATTTGTGAGTGAGTATAAATAAATATTTAGTTAATAGCAGCGCTGGAAAGTTACTTTAAATGAATACAATCAATATGCGCTTGATTGAAGCGATGTGACATTGAGCGTTTTGAGTCAGCTCACTTTTTCAGTTACTTTGCCGGCATTTTTTTTGTGTTTTGGATATTCTCGCGAGTGAGTTGAAGCAAATCCATGCTGAGATTAGTTCACACGATTCTTGAATCAACCAATCCCATGATGACGGACGGATTCACAGCCCTATCTCATTCATCCTATCAAATAACAGTTTCATTAAGCGTAGTCATTTGGACTTTGATTTTGTTTTTTTGGATTTCAACCGATCAGAACTAAAAAAACATATCTCCTCAATTCGACAGAGAATGCCCGGGTAATCAGTCTCGTTCCCCTTCCCTGTTCGTCACATTTCGAGAATCCCACTCAAAAAGGTTATTCGAATACATGTGCCTTGTTATTCTTTGAAACATGCTCCGTTGATTTCGTTGAATAGGCTTGAGAATTGCAGACGGTTGAGTTTAGAGGATAGAAGGAATGGTTTGGAAAGTCACGGAAAAGATGGTATGAGCCGTCGAATGTTCGATTCGAGGTGGTGGCCTCTGAGAGTCCTGCGTTATGTTTGCCTATTGTTGTATGAAAATTGTCAAGTGGAAAAGTTCGTGTGTTCGAAGTGAATCGACTGTACTGAATTGAGTGTTCGTATGAAGTTTTGACGTGAGTTTGCAGATGCGCGCAACTCAGAATGTGATATTGCCGGCTCGTTCATCTTCATCTCCACTGAGTACTGCCGCCAGTATTGATGCCGAACAACTATCAACCGATCAAAACACCACTAACAATATTAATGCTGCTACAATCAACTCCACTCGTTCACCACTCACTGATGTCAAAGGTAAGCCTTTTTCGAATGTATCGTTTCCAAATCTCAAAATCAACTTAATATCTTCTGATCACCCAAAAATAAGCTCAAGGTTAGTAGTTACGCGATAATTTCGTGGTTTAAGTTAGTGAAGTTTAAACGGCATTTCGTTTGCGCGCATTTGCGATTTTGCAGTCTACGTGCTCAGCGAGATGTGAAAGTCATTTTTAGTGACTGTGAGTTAAATATTTGCTGATGAGTTAGTATGGGTGACGTTTGGTTCAAGCATTCCACTGCTTGTGGGTAAGTTGTGNGATCTTCAAATTGTTGAAGTAATACAACGGGGCTGAAAAATTAACAATGAGTTCGCATCATCCATTCAAATTAATGCGAATACGAACGAGCGAAATGCCGTTTCATTTTTACCAACACGATCTGATGGATTATCGACTTGCTTTTGGGAATTTAGACCTGAATTCTAGAAGGAAGGGATAAGCCTCTATCGGCTGCGAACCAGGTCAAAGTCAAACTTAGGCTGACGAATATCACGCGAGAGTTCAAATGTTGTCGTTTGAGGTTCACAGCTAATCGTGAGCTTCTCGAAAAATTTAGTCTCACGTTTAGTAAATTGCCTTCTGGTGGAGTTGGATTGTAAAAAGATATATTACCTGGATTACCTGGATTGGCAAGGCTGTCAAACGTTCGTAACGTTGCTGGCCACAACGCGTTTCTGTTCGCTCCTTGATCTTGATTTCCTTCGCCTTTGCAAACAGTTATATACTTCTCGAAAAAACTGTTAAGTGAACGAAACGTACCACAGAACAGACGAGCAAAGACTGATTGATCTCATGAAAGCACCAGAATTTACAAGCATACGGAAGATCGATTACCTTGAAATAGATGAAGACTTTAGCGCCTGATCTTACCAGCAAAACTGAATGATCAAATGATCAGTCCTATTCACAAATGGTTTTGATCCAATATCATGAATAGCAGTCAGTTCTTCCGGATCCCTGCTGTACTTGGGAATTAGATGCCATATCTGAAACTTGAAAATCTTCATTTTGAGGCTTAGGCTTATCGTTAGTGTATTTGAAAGAATGGAATGAATTAGCCACACTGAAAATTATATCTGATAATAATCACAGAAGTAGAATTTGTGGATAATGGATCAAGCC